TCCCTCTGCATCTCAATTAGCCTTCTCTATAAAAGCCATATACTTACTGAACGAACACTTACGGCATTACCTCTGCCTGCTGCCTTCCTACCTCTGCTCACGCTTCCTCTCCTGCAGCTGCCAAACCCTCCCAGCACTAATAAACCTCTGCCCTGAGGGCATGTGCAAGTCCCTGCCGGGTGAGATATCTCTTGCTCCTGCTTCCCCAAACGTCTGCCTTCTGCTGTCAGTCTTTCCCTTGCTGCCATTTATTCCTATTCCCTCAAATAATCACACATACTTATTTAGAAAACAAGAATAATATATACACGAAGAAGAACATACACAAAAACATATGTAAAAATGAAACAAACCCCACTGGACAAAGGCCATGTTAGTTCAGAAAAAAAATAAATCTGGTCTTTGGACTTTTTTTAGTTGTTTACCTTGTTCTCATGCTTTACCAAGCAAGATCTGAAGTGCCACTTTAGCAATATTCATAGCTACAGTACTGTGAAAGTATATAGCTGAGAGTTCTATTCGACTTTTTACAAATATATATGTTTTTACACTAGAACAGATGAAATTAGGTAATTAACTGCAATTAAAACTGACTGTAACTATCACGACCCATTCAAAAAATGCAGGATTTAAGTTATTTTTCTTGCAGCTACATTTTGATAGTTATGTTATTAGCATTACTGTTTTACTTCTGTACGGTCCAGCTACCACTGAAACAAAACTGAATCACAGGACAGGATTAGAGCTGGCTGCCAACATGAGCAGGAAAAGGATGTTACTAAATCTTTTTTTAGTGGTTTTTTCCAGTTTGCTGAAAACCGAAACTTATCAGTGCTACTGAAGACTTGTGTTTGTGCTCTTCCAGGTTCCTGGAAAGCTATTCTGACATTCAGACTGAGCAGGCAGCGTTGAATAGTTTCAAACACAAATTAATCCCATTTTGTATCCTTCTTCTGATCCAATAGAGACAGAAGACACAGTAAAAGCTGTTAATAGTCCTTCTGCTCCATTTTTGCATCTGTGGCTATCTCCAGAAAGCCCGCTCCCCAGGCAGCCAGCTCACTGAAATCAAGACAGACTAAATGCAAACAGATGTGCAGCTATTACGGATGGTGCCTAAGCCCCAGCACATGTCACCATCTGACACAGACCTGCGTATTCACAGAAACCACCTTATTACGGACTTGGAACATGTTTACAACATTTTTGGGGTAATAGGTTTTTCTTCAAAACCCACAGAGCTATGTAACAGTACGAAGAACAGAAAATATTTTTGGTAAGCCCTTTATTCCCAGGCATCTTCAAATAATGCCTTTAACTACACAATATTCAATACTCGTTATACACAAGGCAGCTCATGTTCCTAGGCGTACTGCTTAACTGGTGGTAACCACAATTACCTGTAAAAAAGGATTATTTCATCATGTCTTCAACACAGATGAGCATGAGAGAAATAACTATTATCAGGCAGTTTTGACTTTGTCTTCTAATATCTCCTGCTACATTTCAAATTACCGCTGAGGAGATTCCATGTGTATTTCCATGTTTAAATAAAACATTTGAAAAGGAACATTTCAGAGCTCCTGTGACATAACTGGATGCGTGAAGGTTCCCCCACAGACTTCTAATATATATCAAACCGGGATTTTCAGCCAAACTGGCAGGTAACTTCCACAGAAACAAAAGTAGAATTTAGTCTTCTTTGCATCCCAATTATTTGATTGCTTTCTACACTTCTGATGATAAAGAGGATGAAAATAAAACCACTAACTCTTAAACACACCACCAATTTCTCTTCTGAGCTGACTTCCAACCTTAAGAGTCGCCTGCCTTTAGTTAAAAAAAGGTACCAATAATATATTGTATTCACACAGCAATTTGCTGATGGTGCTAGAAGCATCTCAAGAAAAAAGATAACTCAGGAAAGTTACTCCTGTCTTTCCAGGGTGAAAGGGAAGACTTGAAGTTGGCCACACAACTACCCTGCGTGTTAATAACAGTGGGTGTACAGTAAGAGAAAATAAAAAATTAAAAAGTAAATAAAATAACTCTACCCCTAACCAATAAGGATTTGTTGCAATTTTCCTTTGGCCTAGAGATTGGAAAAAACACCAAATACAGAGTAGAAAGGGGCCATTTGATTTGATGCCTTCTTTGTCACACCTTGTATAACAGAAGCCCTAGAATCCCCCCTCCAGGAGGATGCTCACCGCCTACACGGCCTCGGTGTCACATACAAGAGCTCTGTGCAGTGCCAATTCCAGGGGACCTATAACCAACAGAACACCATGGGACAGCTCACATCACTCCTACTCCTGTTTAAAAACCCTTCAAGGAGACTGTCCAATAACTTCCAGAGACAATTTAGAAGTGAAGGTATGAACATGCCCTCCCTCCTACCCCTCATTTCAATCATCGCATGAGACCTAAAATAGCTTCTCCTAAAACAAAACACCCAGTCTGAAGATATGAGACAACCTGCCCCTAGTAGTTTCCTGATAGTTTGTTCCAGTCAAAAAAAAAAAAAAAGACATAAGAATCACCATGTTTCCAATTTATCTAGCCTTTATTTCCAACAGAAAATCTTATTATAGCTTTCTCTGATGGGCTGGAAATCTGTTTAGTGCTCCTTATTCTTTTCTTGCAAAGGCATTTTTGTATTTGATCAAAAAGACAACAAAAAGATGGTGTTAACAGATGGACAGAAGTAGTACAGCCTGAGCTTTACATGCTCGCTGTTAGAAAGCTATTTTATCCATCCTTTATGTGACTTCCTGAGTTCTTTTTGTCTTTTCAATACCATTTTAAAAGGTAGACTCAACGATGATTCATTGCAGATATAACATCTCCCCATGTAGCTCATCAATCCAAGCACTAATGTTATGGGTCGCTTGTCCGGCTGTCCAGACTATGGGTCCTTAGGGATCCTTTCACACAATTTCCTTCCTCCTCCTCTTTTGGCTATTTTTCTCCCAACGTCATGAGGCCCTCTCTTCCCTTAATTTCAATTTCCCTTTTAGGGTAAATTTCAAAAGGTACAAACAGCAGAACGATGCTCAACTCCCAAAACAACCCTTGTAAAAGTCTTTCAAATCATATCCGCTGCCCTGTTTTCTGTCAGCTGCTGCATGCTGTGCCATCTTCATGGCCAATACCCCAACAATAACCATGCTAGGAATATCTGCTATCTACCTTTGCATCTCTTCTGCAGCCCACATGGCCCTACAAGGACTTGATGCACAAAACCACCCAGGGGAAGGTGGCGCCAGGCTCGTGAGGTCTCAAGCTGACTGCCACTCTTCGAAGCAACAAGGAATGATGTGAAATGAAGGGCAGGGAATCCCAGCCTCTCTGTGCTCTTGGTAAATTATCTCTAAAAGACTTCAGTCAGCTTTGTTAATCCCCTAGAACAACTGCCATGTTCTAGAGAGAAATAAACCCTCCAAAATCAGTGTACTGAAACAGGGACATTCCTGTTCCTCTCACAGCGATACCCTGCCTTCTCCACAGGTTTTGAAACAGAGATATCAAGGCTGCAGAAGGTAAAATTAACCCTAAATTTATGTTAATGGGTGATTCAAATAAGTAAAATAACCACTTTCTTTTCCAGAGTTGTAAGTGGGCAAAACCCCCATCAAATACTTCAAACTACAGCAGAAGTCTTGGAAAAAAGACGTCAAGCTGCAAAAAGCACATCGAAAGAGAGTAAGAAGTGATCTAACAAAACAAAATCTGTGCCCTCACCATCACTTTCCAGAAGTCTTCAATTGTGTTTACTTAGCACCTATTTTGACTTATTTTATGAGAACTAATGGGGTCTTAAGTAGATGTTGCTGCTATTCCAGAATGGGTTTACACTGGTTAAACCATCACTACATAGAAGGATTATTTACTCTCTGGTTTTTGTTTATTTATGGCAACTAAGAATTGACATAAAATTGCTTAATAAATTTGCACAAATGCTTTTCCTTGTGAAGTTAGTGACTCTACTAACTCAGGCACCAGTAGGTACCAAAGCAGACACATTAGCACAGTTCCTGCTTTGGCACATCTCAGCTCATGAACAACTACAGAGCTACCACTGCTGCATACAAGTTTTTTTCCTTCTACATGCCAAGAAAGCAACAGTTTACTATCCAGATCCAGTTATCTTGTTTTTAAGGGATTACAGAGCAGTCCCTCACTCGTTTTGTTTTCTCTATTTCTTTGCTTTTAAAATTTATTTCTTTTCCTCTACTTTGGCTCAATTTCCAGTCTTCCAAAAAAAATAAATCCAGCAAAAATTATTAGTCACAGAATCACCCAACCGTGAGGAGAAGGAAGAGGTCTGGAAACCCAGACTAGGGTGGGACAGAATTGTAAACTGGGATTCTTCATTTATTTTTGTGCCTGCCTCCATATCATCACTCAGCCATGAAAATGAGCACTGAATGCAGACACAAATGCGCATTGCAATGTTTGTTTCCTGCTATTGAGAATAAGAGGGGATGAATAGGGATGCTTCCAATTTCCATTTTGTTGTAGTTTACTTTCACAGCATTTCTAAAATGGTATTTCCATGGGGCAGAGAGCCTGGTACAACAAGCAAGGGTCAGAAACACATCCAGCTGTCCCCTATCTCAGCACAGCACTCACTCTAATTCCGCTAAAACAAAGGCTTTCTACCACCAAATCACCAGCCCAGAGACGTTCTGCCTTACGAAGATCAATATCAAACATCAAAAAGAAGAAAACTTTAGGAATAGTTAAAATCTAAGTTGAGCAACATATGGTTAATAGTATGAGTATTGCTGTTAATAAGCAGTTTGCAATTTAAAAATATATGTGTTTTATATATATATATATATATTGCAGCCCATATATTCCCCCAGATTATTCCAAAAGACAATTTAAAAAAAAGAAATCTGGTTTAGTACTTAAAGAAAAGAGACAGACTTTATAGGAAGTATCTATCTGAAGTACTTTAGTCTATGTCCTCCTCCTCCAAATCTGAGTCCTGCAAAGGCTTTCAGACACATAGCAAAAGGTACGTTCTTCAAGGAGTGCCACTTACTCCACATGCCTCATTCTGTGTTTGCATGGGATTAGCCTTTGGCTCCATGTCTTGCCTTTTTTGGTTCTGCTTCAGTTGGTTTAAGGAAGGTTTTGTCTGTGCAGCTCCAACAGTTTTGCTTGTCCACTGATCAACCAGCTTGTGAAGATCATCTGTGAACGTCCCTTTCTTGTTGTTACTGTTGTTGGCCTGAACCTGCAGGGTTGATTGCGGGAGGGGCTCAGGACACGTTACAAGACTGTTTGTCGAGGATCCTGGAAAATCACACACAAATAAAGTTGATAATGGCATCTCTGCTTCACCACTTTCCTGCTCTAGCAGCTTCTCATCTACTACAATTCAAATGTTGGCTTTTTGGATTTTTAACCCTCCCCCTCATTTCTACAGAACACCTTTGCTTAAAGAAATGGTCCAAGTCCAATGCGTTCGTATTTTCTATCACATTATGTTAGCTTAGCCACTAGCTGTTGCACCCACAGCTTCTCTCTAGGTGATATTAATGATTTGGAGAGAAAAAAGGAATGCAGTCACAGTAACACTGACATCCTAAGGCTTACAAAGTCTCTTCAGAGGAGACTACCATGAGATAGTGGGAGGCAGGATGTACTACTTGCTTAAAGTGCACACATTTAAAGATGAATTTACCACTTATTTTACTTGCATAAGTTCAATGTCCTCCTGGAAAAATGTAATTGTCATATAGGTTACAAGTAGGGTTGGCTAATATGCCTCAAGGGCTTCGGGAACTCACAATCTCCCTTGATGTTAGCACCATTTACTCTGCCATCTGCATATTTTTGGGAAAAAACAAAACAAAACAAAACAAAAAACCACACCAAAAAACCAACATTGGGACCATGAATGTACAGAAGAAAGAGGAGAGGAGGACGTAAGTGGCTGTGTGAATTTTGGAGACAAAGATACAGAACTTTTGGTATAGATAAAAGCAGACAGGAAGGTTATTGACAGAGATTTAATTTGGTATGTTCACTTAATTCTAGAATAACTAGGCAAAAAAAAAAAAATCTGTCCTTTTTACGTGTTGGTAACTACAAGTCTGACACAGCAAGATCATTTTTTTTGGAAAGAGCAACCAAAGGTGCCTGAATTTGACCTAAGCAGAAAATAAAGTAAAGTAACTTTTCAGCTAATGTATTTGATACAGCTAAATATTTGAAATAAAGACCATCTCTCCAAGCAAAAAGTTCATAGAACTGTAGTAAAATTATTATATAGGCAAACATGAACATTCAGTCTTCTTTTTTCTGTTAATCATTTACCAAGCAATGAAACAGAGTAAACTAATTAGTCCTATGGTTATATAAAAATACATTAATAACCTTTAAATGATCATGCATTCAACCTGCAACATAACTTTGAAGTGAATACTGCTTATTGCCTTTGCCTTTGCTTGGGGGAAAGGGACCAGTGAGAAAAATAAGTATTTTGACAGGAAAGCTCTTCAATTAGCGTTTAATATTTCATGCAGGTCAACAGGAACAAGATTGTTTTAAGCTATAAATTCCTCCAGCAGAGAACTGCAGTCATATAAAGGTGTGTATTTCAGAAAGACAAACACTGAATCCAGTTTTCTCGTGGCATGCGTGCACAGTCTCACACACAAATACAACTGTCTTGCAGCATGCGTGGTTCCCAAGACATCACTGCACATGCATTATTATGAAAGTATCACAATTTATACAGTCTAATTTCATATCAGTATAAGTGCATCATCTCTATTTATTAAACAACTAGCTTTTAGTAAAAAAAAATAAACAAAAATCAAAAAGCATCCCATGCCATGAAGGAAATACTGAGAAACAAAAATGGGATAGTTACTACTACTGTGATCTTTGCCTAGACATAGTCGTTTCAAGGTGGACCCTACAAGGTAAAACAATACAAGACATACTGAATTAGATAAGACTAAACACAACAAATCTGACGGACAAGCTTCTGTACTTTTAAGCAATCAAAAAGTAGTTATTATGCAAGAAAGGACAGACAAAGTCAGCAGTTCAGGTGAATAAAGGAAGCCTAAATAACTGGACAGCTCAAACCTTTCTTAATGTGCAGCCATTCAGAAGCTTTGAGAAGTACAATAGCATGCCAAAAGCAAGTTCCCATGACTTGAAGATGCATTTGGTTGGGTTTTTGTTCAGTTTTTTTTGTTTGGGTTTTTTTTTGTTTTATGTTTTGTTTTTCCAAATTGCGTTGGCTTTCTAATAGGAGGTTTTGATTCCTACTCTATTTATGCAGGAAATGATGTCAATTCAGTTTGTGACAGGAGGCCAAAAATGCTTTCAGGAACAAGTCAAGCTAGTCTGGCTGCAAAGACAAACCGTAAACCAACCCTAAAAGTCCTGTTTTACAAGTCCAAAAAGATACATTGTCCTGCAGGTCTGAGGCCAATTGTTTCCAAATACTTTATTAGTAGGATTTGTGTCTGAATGTGAGATTCTAAACTTCAATTGAAAGTAACCATGAATGAGTTTCCCTTCTGCTTTGCCCAAGTGCAGAAAAATAATCCAGCAGAGTAGTTGAGTTTTCATTTAACCAAACTACGTGGGTTTTTTTCATTATTATCTCGTTACGTCCTTCATTATGATTTTACATAGTCTGTTGGATAGATCGTTAGAACGCCAGAAGTGCACCGAGAACCCTACTTGACTGTCAGATCTTGCCAGACATAAGCACCATTTCTATTTGAGTGCCAAACTTCCTGAAAGGTATTTTGGACTTGGTAAGAAGAATATCACCATGGTATGGGAGGAGATGAATATCTGACATGGGGCATGGCAAGTTTATCATGAAGGACTTGAAAACATGAGCAAAATCAGAGTGGGGCAAAAAAGCAAGATACAGGATGTATGTGCTTTTTCTCTACAGCAAACTAGTGTCAATATTTCATGTTACTGTGCCAGAAACGCAGCTTTAAACTCAAGAGATTGCAGGTCCAGGTTGACGTAGGCTCTGAATGAGTCTTCAAAGGAGAAAGGAGAGACATCAGTCTGAGACTGAGGAAGAGAAAGTAAAGAGGGAGCAAAAAAAGGCAGAAATGTTTGTGCTTTGATATGTGTGGCATGAGGAGGAAACAGAAGGATTGCTTTGAAAGATTTTATTATTTTGTATTGCTTAATGAGGGTTCTACTCCAGGAAAATCAGAAGGACATGACTACAGTTATGTCTTACGCAAGCATGACCAAGTTTAGTTTCCCATCTCAAAGCTAACAAATACAAGTCACGTTCACAACTCAACAATCTGCGTCATATTTTTTTTTCCCCTCTTTCCCCTCAGATATACCTTAAAGTTAGCCAGCAACTCCAATTGTGGGAACATCAGTAGCAGTAATACTAGAATGCCATTTTCTTAACTGTCCTGCAGCATTTCTGCATGTAGCAATAGGTAGTATTTAGCACAATATGTATGCAAATGAAAAGCAACTGCCTGCAAAAAATAAAAGCAGGCAGCTGACTACAGTACGTGCTTAAATGCATGTAAAAAAGTTTAATCACCAACTCTTCCATTTCCTGAAAACCAAGTCACAAGTTTATATACACCTTGGGTGCCAAATCAAACCTGGGTCCCCCCACACGCGTGGGGAAGCAACAAAGAGCACCAATACTAGACAGTCACAACACACGCGTGAGCGGAGCCAATGTTAAGGAAAATATCACAGGAGAGTCAATCATCAAAGAGAGCTATTTCTTCCAAACTGTATCATTCCAGCATGTTGCTTAGTATCTAAAGTGGTGATGTTGCCTGAAGCAGAGACTGACAATCATTGGCTACGATTGGTTTGAAATCCAAATTCAATTAAAAATGCACTTGGTAAATCTAATTCACCAGATTAATTGAATTACTTCTAAAATCTGTACAGTTAAGAAGATGAATCATAATTAAGATTTCATCTAAGACTGCAGAAGTTCAGCAGTGTTTTCCCTCCAATTCCAGACTGCTTATCTGGGAAATTAAGTAGCTATTATATCATACAGGACAGAAAAAATCCACTGTCCCATATTTGCACTCTTAACAGCTGCCAAAGAGTTTGAAAGCTAAAATAAAATTGAAATGGCAATAAATTGTTAGACCATTTCCATAGTTGCATATGCATAATACAATATATTAACTACTACAGACCTGACAAAAATCACTTGACACAGGATGACAAGTCTAAGCCAAATGGAGCTTTTGAAAATTCCACTCACCATCAGCACAAACTCTTCCCTAAGACATTGTTGCAATTTAACCCAGGGAAGGAGCTCAGGCTAAAATTATGCTGAAGCCCATCAAAAAAATTTTATTCCATGAAAAGTACAAAGGAAAAGTCAATAGTGGACATAGGGAACAGATCAAAAAGCAATTCTTGGAGAACACTGTGAAAGTGTTCAAGTCTGATGGATCTTGTAACCAGGGCAAGATATTTGTAAAACCATCTGTAACGCATCGGAACATTTCTTTTTAAAACCATGCTGCTAATTTGCCTGCTAATAGAGTACAGGCCTCACACTGGAAGGGCTGTTTTTCCTTCATCAAACAGAGATTCAGAGCATTTCTGAAAAGTTAGCACAACTTTTCCCAACAGCTCTCCAACGAACAAAAAATCCCAGGGAAACTTTGACTCGTGGAACAGACCCAGGACCCTGAGCTGCCTGGATATGCCACCCAGCTGCCTGCACTGGACAGCCACATCCCAGCCCTGTACGCCTGGTACTCACTCACTGCCTGTCTCAAGCGTGCAGCAAAAATGGGAACATGTTCAGCACCTAGTCCAAACGGTTGGCTCTGCCTGCTTGCTGGGTCAACCTGTGTCCCATCCAGAGAGGAAGGAGCATGAGCCAGATGGCATTCTCATCACCATCATCATCAGCTAGCACTGTTTTTCCTATGGCTCATGGTCACGGTTGCTCTGGATACTGGCTCAATGGAACCACCAGCCATACGTCCTTCCAGCAGCAGCCCCAGCTGCCCTTGGGGGACAAGGCCACACGCAGCCCCATGTTCATCCCTTCACACATGCACACAACCAACCTGTTGGACTCGCTGGGAAAACAAGCTAAAATAACCTCCTACCCCCATCAAAACCTACCAGTAATTCAGCCATAGAAAACTGTCTAGCAACTCAAGTCACAGGCAGTATTTGAAACTAAGCTGCACTCTCCAAGCAGCGGTGACTTTGGGTGGAAGTGTCAGGGTTCAGTGCCTGAAACTCAGACCATCTCCTCGTATGACTCAGAAACGAGAGAGTGCAAACCTCCTCTCCAAACACTCTGCCCAGAAGAAACCGAGAAGAGAGCATATGGGCTGAGAACAGAAAGCCATTAGTCATGCTGAGTTATTTAAGCATTGGGAAACTTCACGATTTGAAGGATTTACATATTCCCTTGGTTTCATTCACAATATCCATGCACCCAAACATTTTTAATATGCCAGTCTTTTTGCATCCTACTGAATAGTAATTCTGTGAAAGATTAATGAAACAACTTCTGGGAATTACATGTGCAGAGGAAGAAACTACTATGTCTGTTATAATACCAAATGGGAAAATTTGTGAGCTGAGAATTCCCCTCAGATTCTCAGAAAAAATCCCTGAATGCAAAATTGTCTCATGACTTCAACAGTCATTAAAAACTGGCACGATAATAAATTCAGTACGCTGAGCAGTATTTCAAGAACCTGAGTGCTTGGACTTTTAGGGACCTCAAACAAAAAAATCAAGATTATTTTTAAAAATACTGTTTATTCATAAAATTAGGAGGAGTGTATTTGAGTGGTCTTGTGCCTTTGATCTGTACCACTTGGATAATGACAAGCAATGTAGAACTCCAATGGGAGATCTGATATTAATGCAAATGAACAGTTAGTTAACCAAACATTTTCTTTCTCAAGAACATTATTAGCCTTTCTAATGTTATATGTAAGTGGCCTATAGTACCTGTTCAGCACAACATATCTTTATTGTACAAGCAAAATCTGTTTGCCTAAAAAGCAGCATATATGATTGGCTATAAAGGTCTTAAGTTCTTAATTAAATAGCTTCAGATCTTTTGGTTGTAATGCCAATTACTTTAGAAGTCAAATAGGGTACAAATAGCAGGTGCACAATTATTTGAAACAAAAAAATATTAGATACTAGCAATCCATTTCAAAGTATCATCTGAAAATCTGATATTGCTTTTTATTTATTTATGCTTTGATGAACTGCTAACTGACTTCATCTCTGAGGTCACATAAGGTCATAAGAAAATAAACTGAGTAAAGTGCTTCAGCCAGATCAGCTTACACAAAAAAAGTTGATGGTGTTCTCCCTTGGAGTAACCAAATCTTCCTGCCGCTTATGAGTACATAAAAAATTGCGCACTTAAAGTAATTAAAGTGAATGCATGGGGAAAAGCCCACCTAGAAAACAGATTTTGAAAGAACTAGCTGGAGCACTATTGTCTCAGCATTTCCACATGCAAAGAGCGGGGGAAAAAAATTAAAGAAAATAGAGTGGATATAAACAGTACTGTATATCGTGTTAATACAGCCCTTGTATGGAAGTTATACCCTTCAGTGACCTTCTAGTATTGTATCAGCTTGCTACATGCATGTCTTCATAGTCCAAACATGTGTGAAAGAGACCATTCGTCTACAGAAGGATGAATTTCTTTTTGTTGTCGCTGGAACCGGGACAGCAGACATGTATATTTGCCACATTGCAAATAAAATTACTTCAACATAAATCACATAAAGTACAAAAGCTTTGATAAATCCAGGGTAAAATTTACCATAAGGCTATATAATAAATGATGAGATCTTCCACACATGCTTTTGGTGCCCAGGCACGAGCCAAAAGCAGTGCAAAAAAAGCTTTCATATGAAAAATTAATATAAATAAGATGTGTTCATGATGATTACTTAAAAGAAAGGTAAAAAGAAAGAAAAGATGGTTTAGAAAAAGGGGCATCCTGCCAAACATATTAGAGATATAAAACATGGAATTGGAAAAAGGGGGTAAAAGAAAGATGGACTGTGATAAAATACAAAAGAACAAATACAAACAGATGGACAAAGACACAGGTCCACTGAGGAATCTGGTACGAGGTTTGCTACTAGATTTATAGGTCACTCTCTCAGACGTTTGGTGGAAAACCGTCCAGCCTGCAAATGAATATAAAGGGAAGAAAACAAAGACACTTATAAAGTACAAGTAGCTGTGATCAGATGTCCTATACCATCAGTCAAATCAGCTTTGTTAGTTAAACATCCACATCTCCATTTTAACTTTGCCAAAGAGGAGTATGTTAATTGACCATACACAAAGGATGCAGTAACAGCAGAAGAGAACAGATACATATTTTGTAGATTAGTTTGGCAGGATGTACAATGAGAGGAAGGTATTTTGATCATCATTATAACTTCCAATATGCATGGCAACAAGATCAGTCAAAGCCTACGGAGGTGTGCAATACACAGAAGTATCACAGCCAGTCTACAGTCATTTAGCTGGGACTCCAAAATCATGCATGAAGTTAACGCCTTAGATAAAGGAAACAGAACTTGGTTCTCTGGTTTTGGGTTGGTTTGGGGTTTTTTTTCCCTTTTTTTTTTCCCCCTTTTGTCTTTTTTTTTTTTTCTTTTCCCCTCACACCCAAGATGGTTTGGTAGTTTATAATGAGGAACTCTGGGTCTACCAGTATCAAGGGGCTAAAAAAAGCCCCAAACAAACCAATGGAAACAATCTGCTATCCTTCCCTATCTTTTTTGCTTTCCTTTCCCTTTTTCTCAGAAATCTGTAAGGCAGACTCCAGAAAAGGTGTCAGTATAAAGCCACTGCCGGCAAAAATAAAAGGTATTTCCTTCCTAAAAACTAGCATGCCTTCGTGAGTGTTGACTTTTAATACTTGATAAGATACTTCACTTTTCTTCTTCTGACAATCAACAATCTTTTTAAAGACAAGCCAGTAATTTGGATTGTCAAGGGTTCACGTTCCTATATCACTAGAATTGAAATCCACTCCTAAAAAGTTCAAGCACAAGGGAAGTGAACTAATTGTAGCATGTGCTGGAAGACAGGCTGAACAGCTGGTATGAAAAAAATCACCTTGGCCAGAGCTTGCGTTCGTGTCACCTCCTTCAGGGCCTAAGCCGGAGCAGATGTCAGAAGACAAAGAGGCTTTGACAGAGCACGGCTGCTGTGTCTGCACAGCCTTCCCAAAGGCAACTGAGGCAGGGGAAGTTACTGCTGCAGCTTCAGGGGATCCAGGCTGATTTTCAGTTGTTTCTTTGTGGGGTGAGTCTTTAGAGTCTGAAAGGTTACCTGAAAGAGCAAGCAAACAAAATACATGTAATGGCAAACGCTAGGAAACCACTAAATAAAAATCTGTGCCTAAAAACAATCGTTACTTTGCCACCAAGACAAACAGTCGTTCGCAATTCTGTACGAAACACAGATAGCCTGCATCAGAAAATAATCTAGACATACTATCACTGACCCAGTTTCTCCAAGAAGCTAATGGAGCAGCTTTGATTTTTACGGTTTCTTTTCAGTGTTTTTCAGAAAGGCTGGAGTCAGGACCTCACTAGGAGCTCTGCTGAAAGATAGTGAGGGCAGAAGTGCCTAAGTAGGAGGAGGAACTCACAGCACGACTGAGCAGAACATGAAGGTTTGCTCTCAAACATGAAAGGCGAAAGCAAGTGAATGGAGATAAATAAAAAGTTGCTGCAAAGACATGAGGAACTTTCTATTTATTGCTATCTGTATATAGACAGGTACACGCCTATATATAAATATCTGTATCTATATATCTGTCTACATGGTTATCTCGGGTAAAGAGGCTTTACCACCAGAATACTTTTGTAATCATTTGTTACAGGGATTTATCAGCAAAAGCATCTAAAACTGGAAATGACAGTTATATCACTAACCATATCAGAAACTGCCTGCCCTTGATCCCTGAGAAAGGACCTAGGAAGGCCAAAAACTGAGGAATCTACATAGTCAAGGATGAGAAGACTCAGGCATGAATACAGATTCTCAAAGATAACGTGAACTTTACACAGTGTATCAAAAACCTGGAAATTGACACAGAAGAAACGCCATGAAGGAAAGCATGCATCAAAGCAGCAGTCTGATCGAGCAGATTTCTGTTCTCTAACCGAAGATAACAAGGTGGGAGAGAAAAAAAAAAAAAAGAGAATTGGGACATTTTACACAGAGATAAGCTTCTTTGGACTAGGGCATCACACTGATATGAGCCAAGATCTATGAGTGGAGACAGATGTGGATTTTGTGAATAGACAGAGGGACAAATGGCTAGAGAGAACCCAAGAACAAACTGGAAAATGAACAGACCAAGGAGAACAGACATTCAGAGTATCTCACCACAAGGAAAGGAAGTAAAACCTACGCACATCAGCCATGCAGCAGCTAAAGAGGTGTAAAGCACTGAACACTGCTTTAGCTCCTGAAGGCAAGAGTACTGAGATTCAAGAACATCTTGCTTCTGAATATCTTTGCTTTTCCCATCTCAGTTGAAATCCTTAATTAAAAGCAAAACCCTCCAAAACAGTCTGTTTATAATTAAGATTGATACAATTAAATTTGAAGTGGATGTATGATGCAGCGACTTTGAAAACAAAAGCTACCAGGTTTGAAATTCAGGGTTAATGGTGGAAGTGCTGCTGCTCCTCTAAATAACAGCAGAAACTATGTTGAAGAAAAATTATTCACACTCTATTCTACGTTTTGCTGAAGAAATAGGTACTGGGGTATATCAACATTTCCCACTTGAATTACATCTTTATACTTTCCAAAGAGATAATGACTCAAGACTGCACTACTGTTCAAAAAATCTCAAACTACATCAGATGGTCAAAGAATCCATCACAGTTTTACAACTGTTTTTTACCTCCCATCCTTTGGGGGAGCAAGTACAATCCAATCTTATTTATATGGCATCTTGTAGGAAAAAATAAACAACAAAAATGAGATATAGCACACAATCAATAGAGGATAACAGCACCTAAGAAGTGAATAAAAACATCAATAAATTGCATTTGGAGAAAGGATGAGAAAATGTAAGCAGGCTGTATTCCAGATTAAAGTGGAATATTGCTTCTCTGCCAAGCACTGTAACCGATGCAGTGAAGGTTACGTATGGTTCAGCACTGGGCAGCTGTAACAAGCCTGTCCCAAAGGAAGCCCACTTCACAAACAGTTCACAGTACACAAATTTGAGTGACAGTATCAAAACCAATAAAAATTCAGTGCCTCTCCTGTGGTCCATGCAATTAGACAGCAGAACCACAACTGACACAAACAACAGGCGTATGGAAAGCAACCTAGTGTACCTACTTGTGTTTGATGTTCCACTCCTGAGCTGCTGGACCAGCGGGTTTAATAGTTTTCCACCTTTCAATTTATTTTTGCTGGTTCTTCGGCGACGGCCACTTGGTGGGGCTGAGTGAAGGAACCCCAGGTTGGGAGGAAGGGGTTTCCCTAACCGAATATACAGTGCCTCTATCTCATTCTTCTGCTGAGTCTGAAGTTCAGCAATTTCTTTCATATGCCTAAACACAAAAAATAAAGTAGTGCATTTGATAAAGCACCACATCTTGACAGCATAATTAGTTATAAAAAAAGAAACAAAACAGTCTTTGGTTATAAAACAATCAACTGCTCATCCAAAAGTATGTGAAGTTATAATCAACTACCTGTGGTGACTGACTTCTCAAATACTCATTTCTAACACAACCCTAGACAGCTAAAAAGATTTTCAACACTGTCAGTAAAACCAACTGATTTTGACATGAAATCTGACAGGAACTCCAAACTATTCCAGAATTCTCTCTTCAAACCAATGCCTCCAAAGCAGTTAACTCTCAAGGCATGTACATCAGTTTGAAGGGTTTCAACATAAAAGAAGACAAGTGCATCCCATAAAAATGCCATTAGCACACGAATCATCATCTTATTTATAATGCAGATTTCATGATGCTATAAAGCCAGTTCAAAGGTTTTGCATTATTGTAGTTCTTAAAAAGACACATCAACTGCATTCAGTAAAACCACTATACCTTAAGATAAAGTTTAACATTTTGGTTAAACTAACATCTAATGCTAGTTTTTACCCATCACCCTGCCAGAAAAGAAAGAAAATGTTCAAATTTAAAGAAGCTAGCTCTCAGGACTGGCAGCATGACAGAACCCTGCCAGGCTGACCCAGCCTCCTGCCAAGACTGGACCAATGGCTTGATTGGAGGCAAAGCAAGGGTCTTACCTGCCTAATAGATACTAGGTCATCTACTGTAGAAGCAAGTCTGGGAATAGTGATGGGCCTGTAGACCTGCTAGTCTAAATCACCCTTGCAGAGAAGGGCATGAACAGAACACTACAACAGCTGTCTAAACAGGCATCCAGATTGCTTTGATGCTGCCTTAAATAGCATCCACATGGGACCCTACTACCACATACGCTGCAAGTGCTATTGTTTGCTACCATATCAACATAGTCTTTCAGAGGAAACTGGACATTGCAACAGAAATGTTTTGGGGTTTAAAAAAAGTTATTATTAAATTATTCTTCTAAATGGAATTGATGAAGCCATGCATAAAAGGATGCAGTATGACATTTAGGGGAAGGTCTTAGCAATACCTACTTTGCTCAGAACCAATTTACTCATTACAACTGTGAAAACCACATATAGAACCATCATAAAATGGTCTGGGCTGGAAGGGACCTTTAAAGCTCATCTAGTCCAACCCACCTGTAGTGAGCAGGGACATCTTAGCTACACCAGGTTGGCTCAGAGCCCCATCCAACCTGACCTGGAATGTCTCCAGGGATGGGGCTTCTACCACCTCTCTGGGCAGCCTGTGCCAGTGCTTCACCACCCTCATTGTAAAAAATGTCTTCTTTATATCCAGTCTAAATCTGCCCTTTTTTAGTTTAAAACCATTACCCCTTGTCCTATCACAACAGGCCCTGCTAAAAAGATTGCCCCCATCTTTCTTACAGGCCCCCTTTAAGTACTGAAAGGCCACAATAAGGTCTCCCATATTTGCTCCTCATATGCAGAGATGCTGCCTAGGTACCTTAACACAAGCTTCCCTAGCATTGTTTGAAAACCCGACGTACTTTTCTCTCAGGTTCTGCAATTCTTTCTTCATATCTGCATCTTCAAATTCCGAGTCGTTGTCGCTGCTCATGTATGACGATTGCGAGTGAAAAGACGTTATGTTGATGGTAGGAATTTTTGTTCCTTGCCCGTTAGGAGAATCAAGGCCTGCTGAGCTAGCTTTGCCAGATCTTTGCAGAAAAGCAGCTGCTTTTTTAATTAAGTCAGTGGCTGCACTACTGCTTGGGGTGGACAGCTGGGCAGCAGCAGCCAGCTGACTATGGAAAGGCTCATCAGCAGAATCACTTGAACCCTGGTCACAGAGGACATCAACAGAAGAAGCTGTCTGCACCCGTTGGACAGCTGTCTTCAGATCAGGGCTGGAAGGTAGCTCATCCAAATAGACGTCTGGGGGTGCTGAGAACCTTAAGCAGTGCAGCGCTGTTAAAGTTAATTCATCTTGTGTGCTGATAACTGAAAACCTGCCAATAGTTTTGGCTGGTGTACCACTATCATGAGTTTCAGCCTGTTTTCCATAGGAACCAGAGTCTAGAGAGTCATCCCTTTGAAGGTTATTTATCACCTCATCTGCTGTAGATATCTGCGTTACGTTATTGGTGTGTCCAGATGAAGTTTCCATCTGCTTAGTTATGCTTGATGATGTAGGTGCAACCTGAAGAAAATAATGGACATTAATTTTGAAAGTAACTGTAACAATAAAGCATAAAACTGGTCCTAGATTCTAGTTACCTGAAGGAGGCCTTTTGTAGTAGCAACAGGAGTCGAAGCAATGCTTGCAGCTGAACCTGTTTTACAAGTTGGAAAAAAAAAAATATATATTCATGTCTGGAATACTTTAGTATAATAAAAGCCAATGTGTTTATTGTGATAAACTGATGTGTGATAAAGTGTAGCATTGAAGAATAATTTCAATATCTAATCTCTGTAATTCAGGATCTATAATACAGGAGGCAATATTGATGACAATATATAATATCTGCAGGTAGGCACTCTCTTCAATCTATTGATTTGAGAAATTCAAATAATAATAGGAGAGTAGAATTCCATTAGCCAGTTGAAAATTTTTAAGGAAAAAACCCAAAGAAAAAAAAACTGCAAGGTACATTGGGCCTGCATTACTAAGGGTGTTCTTGATGTCTCAAGGAAGTAATTGCACTCAGCTATTCATGCATGCAAAATGCTGCAGCTGACCCAGATGAACTAGTATTTCATGGAATCACAGAATGGTTTGAGTTGGAAGGGACCTTAAAGATCATCTAGTTCCAATCCCCTGCCATGGCAGGGACACCTTCCACTAGACCAGGTTGCTCTCA